CGCCGCTACTATCACGCGATGGTATATCCGGCACTTGGCTCGCCGCGCCGTGGTGCCTTCGCTTGCCGAGTCGCCCTACGCGCCGATCCTTGGTGCTTGACATTATTGTCCACATCTCACAGTACGCACGCTTTTTTATTTTCTATTGATATACACACGTGTTATAAACGCAAAAACAACGAGGACGTCTACAGCGCGAGGCGCGGGTCAGCCTCGACGACAATCACATTTTGCGAGTTGGTCGCCCACATGGGCAGCCGCCACCCGTGCGTCCACGCTTGTTCTCGCAGAAGAATGGCCAAGGTGACTGCGATCGCGATGCGAAGGCCTTGGCGCGCCGGCGCAACCTTCCGGAGCCAGAGGTAGACGCACGCCGACGCTAGCGCTATCGACGCATACGCATCCGCATACGAGTGCATGATGCGCACGGGGTGCTGGAGAAGGCCGTCGCGAACCATGCCGCCAAAGGTCGACGTCATCATGCCACAGAGCGCGCAGACCAGAAAGGGCGCGTCGGCACGGATGCCGTTCATGACACCAATGACGGCAAACGCGCCGACGCCGATCGCGTCACCCCACTGCATGGCCGTGCCTTCGCCGCCATCGACGGCCTTGAGCGTGATTCCAGGTAGGATCTCCGTGCCGGGAGCCAGCGCGCCCCAGAGGAAGAACGCAATGCCGGCGGGAATGATACTCAGCAGGAGGTACTCGGCCTCTTCGACCCAGAACGGGGGCTTGCAGAGCACGATCGAGTCACGGAGCGTACCGCCGCCGATGGCCGTGATTGTGCCAATGAGGAGACTCCCGAGGAGGTTGGCGCCGCACATGGCCGCGGTGAGCGCGCCACTCACAGCAAACACGATGGTACCAAACCAATCCAGGCACCGCAGAAGACCCGTCGGCGTCGAAAAGCCAGGCCAGCGCGGAAGGCCTTCCCGCGGACTCACGACGGCGGCCACAACTGCGACGAGCGCCGGCGTGGGTGGCATGTCAATGTAATATTCGCCGACAACCGAGGCCGACCGGCTCGACGACTCGGGCAGCACGGCAGCGCTATTGCGCTTGGCGCGACCGGGTGTTGGCATCGGGTCGTCGCCGCGCTTCGGGGTCCGTAGCGGGTTGGCCAGCGGCGGAATGCGCCAGATGCGACTCGGCTTTGGCGACGGCTTGGTCTTGGCGAGTTCTGGGTCGTAGAACGGCGAGGGCATCGAGTCGAGGAGGTATTGCGTCGTCGCCATGGCGTGTGCTGACCGTGCGCCGGACGCGTGTGGGAGGGGGCTGTGGAGAGAGGACAAAATCTGAAATTGGGCAAGCGCTGGGCGGGAGGTGTCGACGAGCGTCTTTGGCGCCGTGTGACTGGGCACTTCTGTACGCATATATATAACAGTACTGGGAGGATTACCTAACGGCGTCCGCGACGCGCCACAAGTAGCTTGCGCGCTGTTTATGTCGACGCGCGGTGGCAACGCCACGGTTGCCGCGTCAGCTCGGCAGAGAAACCTCCGAGCAGGTGCTGCCTTCTGAGATTGCACTTTGTGCAGCAAGCAGTCGTCCAAGGCGAGGACAGCTCGTGGCTCATGGCAGCTCGACGACTCGCGATGTGCAGCTGCCCTGTCCTACACTGTGTGCTTGTTGAAGACGAACCTAGGTGAGCGCGTTGGATCGGTTCGACCGCCGCGAATCGACTTTTATCACCCAGTGGGCGTGCAACGCAAGGACAACGCGCTAGAGAAGCATCAAGATACCAGGTATTAGTGGTGTATGGTGCGAGAAGGAAGATCGCAATTCGGTCGACTGCGCAATCACGCGAGACAGGCCAACTGGACGCTCGCTTCGCGCAAAGACGCAGCAGTGAGCTTGATGTTGAAGCAACTGCCGACGACGTTAACGGCACCCGAGACGTGTACCAGAACTTGACGTCTGCCTCGACCTTCTACGGGAGGGTGTTCTGAATGGGTACCCAGATAACTCGAACAAAGAACTAGAGAACGAAGCCACCAAGCGCTCAGCGCGCACACGCGGACCACGAGCCGGCCACTGGCGAGCACGCTCACGAAATACTGATCTTACTGATCGAAACTACAAAGTCGATCCGTCCAGCTGGTAGCATTTGATGAGCGATTCAGACGCATGATTCTCTCTGCTTGTCAACGCACCAGGTATGTTTGGGACCACAAAGGACTGCGCCTTTTCTCGAAGGATACCATAAACTACGTCCAGCGCACCAAGCAGCAGCGACATCAGGTGGCCTGGTGCTGCGTGACGAAGCGGCAGATTCAACCAAGGTACTCGGGCTGTCGTTGTGCCCTTGCGCCCTCCTTTGCTCCATCGAACGATGTGGGCAGATGCGTGTCTGGTCTCGCAGCCAAGTTTCTGACAGTTTTCGCGCTGCCGACGAGATCTGAAACAGGCGGCATTCTGAAACGCCGACGCGTCCCAGCCGTCCGTTCTTTGCACCGGCGCCAGCTGCACGCGTGCGACCATTACGTGATGACGTCCTCGTCACATGTAGCTTCTTCCTCCGCGTCATCAGACAGGAATGGTCTGGATGGCGCTGGTCGTTGCACCTCGCCCGATTTTTGAAACTCTGCGACCACGAGTACTTCCATTTCTGTTCTCTTGCCTGTACTGTCTGCGCCATCCCGAAATGCTCAATAATCGCTACTAGTACATACGTACACAAGGGCAACGACATCGAATAAGTTATCGCAACACCCCAACTTACGCCCGCGACGTGCCATTCGCGCGCGGATCGGTCGTCGTGATCATGACACGCTGCGAGTTGGCGGCCCAGAACGGAAGGCGCCACCCGTGCGTCCACGCTTGTTCGCGGAGGAAGACGGCGAGGCAAATCGCCGCAAAGATGCGGCAGCCTTGGTAGCGCGGCGCGGCCTTGCGCAGCGCGAGGTACAAGCACGCGCTCGAGAACGCGACGGTTGCGTACACGTCCGAGTATGAGTGCAAAATGCGCACCGGCCGACCGAGGAGCGTGTCGCGCGTCAAGCCGCCAAAGGTCGACGTCATCATGCCGCAGAGCGCGCTCACGAGCATCGGCGACGACGCGCGGATGCCGTTCATGGCGCCAATGACGGCGAACGCACCGACACCCACCGCATCGCCCCATTCCATGGCCGTACCTTCGCCGCCGTCCGCCGACTTGAGCGTGAGGCCCGAGCCCGGCACGATCTCTTGGCCGGGGCGCATGTCGCCCCAAAAGTAAAAGGCCGTCGTCGCGGCAAGCGCGCTCATGACGAGGTACTCCCACTCTTCGACCCAGAACGGCTGCTTGTTGAGCACGAGCGCATCGCGGAGCGTGCCGCCGCCGACCGCCGTGATGGTGCCAATGATGATGGACCCGAGGAGGTCGGCGCCGCACATGGCCGCGGTGAGCGATCCGCTGGTGGCAAACACGATGGTACCAAACCAATCGAGGCTCCGGAGACACCCGGTCGGCGTCCGGAGGCCCGGCCAGCGCGGCAGGCCCTCGCGCGGCAACGGCTTGACCTCGGTCGACGACGCGAGCAAGCTTGGCGTGCCAATGTCAATGTGACACGTCTCCGTCGGGCTCTTGAGCGCGGCGGAGAGCGGCGGCGTCGAGATCACGTGGTGCATGGGCAGCGGCGACAGGGTTTGCTGCGGCGGCATACTGCGAGAAGAGAGCGGGCGAAAGTGGCGGGGAGGCGCGAAGAGATCGAGAGGGCCTCGAAGCGACGCCGGGCGGCAGGCGGCGGACGACCGGCGTGAGAGAAGGAAACGGGTAATGGTGGTCGTCATGTGGGCGACGGCGTCAGGAGCGTCGGGTGCGAAGAGGCCGTGCACCACGCGAATAATGGCCCAGCTGGGGCCAAATCCAAGCTGATGACGAATCGAGTTTTTATACAATGATTTATTCTGATTTGAAATTTGTAAGCAAAATGAATAATAAGTGATTGGCATCGTTGTGCAATCACCAGCAGCCAGAGTCAACGACTTTGCACGTGTCTCATTCCGAAAAGGGGGTGTTTTCGAGCGTTAGCACATACAAAAAATAAGATATGATTTGGTACAAACACCCCCGTTTCGGAAATGAAAAGCACTCACTTTGCTACCTAGCTACAGGAACCCATGACAATCCTATCGTAGGGTTGAGGCTGGCCCCTGTCAGTCCCTGTGATAGGCGCGCAACAGCTCGTTAAGCGGCCACCAGCCAATGCTTGCGTCGTCGCAGGCAGCATCGGCGCTCGATTGGCCACATCGCCTTGGGTGACGGCCCCCATGTGGTCGTTGCCCCCCCCGCATCCCACAGCCAAATCCCCTGGAATCTAGACAAGGAAACGGTTTATTCTTCAAACGGACAGCGTACGATGTACTAGGGAACGGTAGGGCTGCATTGAGTATCATGATTTCGTATTGCCGTGCTTGGCCGGGCCCACGCGTGCAGTTGCCTTGGGCTGGTGACAGTAACGAACCACCCAAGAGGCGAGTGTGACTTCATGCGGCTTCGATCAGCACGCCAACTGCCTTGCCTTGGTTCGTACCTGATTCGATATTTGCGATGTGCTCGGTGGTCGCACCCGTACACAGCGCGCTCGCACCTGGCCTCGAACGACTTGCTCCACTGCGTTATCCCGATGCGACTGCCTTTTTCGCGGATGAAAACTGTATTTTGGACTTAGAAATGTGCGCAGAATGTGCGTGTGGTGCCACACCCGCCGCCGCTTGATGCGAACAAGCCGATGGTAGCGTGAACGCACCCTCATGATTCAAACCATAGCTTAGAATAAGCAAAGGCGAGGTGTAGCGATGATGCTAGTTCTGTCGTGTCCGACTTGGGTGTCTTGCCATCGACGCTGCGCCTGGTGCAATGTGCAGTTGTCTGCTGGTTCGCCGACGGTGTAGCCTACATGACTACTAAGAATCAGACACTATTGTACATTGGGAACGTTTGTACCAGTGCCAAAAACAGCATGAACTGTGGTTGCTCGTGTTGTTGTGGACTGGAGTCGTGTAGACAGGACCGTGGACGGCGAAACGTGACTGTTCAAGATCCATAGGGCCGCCAATCACCTTTTTGAACGCACAGGCCAATCGCCGGCGCAGACGTTATCCATTTCAACCAATTGCGTGGCTATATTTTCGAACCAATCAGAGCGTGGCTTGTGGCATCGCAGACAACCACGATGACGATGCGGCAAACTCGACGGACGCTTCTGCTGCTGCTCGTGGCTTGCATCTGCTGCCTCTTCGCTCACCCGGCACTGGCCAGCGCCAATGACGAGGGTGATGCTGCTAATGATGCCGACGACGACGATGACTGGTTTGGCGGCGCCGACGAGATCGAGGTCGACGATGGCATGACATGCTTGGCACTCCTCGATGCGTCGCTGCTCAACGATGGCTACTGCGACTGCCCGGACGCCGACGACGAGTCGCTCACTGGGGCATGTGGCTCGGGCAAATTTACCTGCGCCACGTCGGCGAACGTGATTTCGTCTGCATTTGTCAACGACGGTGTCTGCGACTGCTGCGACGGGTCGGACGAGCCATCCATGCACTGCGCCAACACGTGCGACGTGGACGCAAATGCGGTGCGCAAGCGCCTCGAGGCCGTTCTCGCCGACGTTGCGGCGGGCGTGCGCGCCAAGGCCGCTCTCGTCGCCGGTGCCGGCGCCGCCCGCGCCCAGTTTGCAACCGACGTGGCGCACTGGGAGACGATGGCCAACGAGGTAGCGGCCGAGATGGATGCGATTCAGACGCACTTCAAGTCGTCCAACGCCAAGCCGACCCACGAGGTATCCTTGGCGCCAAACATCCCATGTACGATCGAATGCATAGGACCAGCAGCAGTTCCGATACCTACAGTACGTGCAACAAAAAGCCCAGTACTACCAGTACGTGCACGGGAACCTCCTGGCGACCGACTTTGGCGACCACGACGCGTACGCATCACTCGTCGGGCAGTGCTTTGAGTATACTGTGAACGAAAAAGAGCTCAAGGGCGGGACGTCCAACACGGTCGCCAGGACGTACGTCATGGTTGTCTGCCCGTTCCTCAATGTCACGCAGACCGAGCCTGCGTATCACGAGTGGCGGCTCGCACAGGTATTATTGCATGCCGGCATCTGCCTATACGCTGCAATTTCATCTATGTAGAAGCAAGCGCAGGCGGGCGAGACGCCGATCACGCCGCCCACAGAGCGCGAAGAGCAACGCCCGATCTTGCTCGGTGTGTGGGCCAACTGGACGACCGACGTACGACCAACGCATGTGGGCTTGCCGCATGCGCTGTATGACGAGGCACCGGCGCCGCTGGAGGCCGACCCGTCGCCCATCCGCGTCCAGATGTACGACCACGGCGAGCGCTGCGGCGAAGCGCCCCGGCGCGTGCACATGCAGATGGAGTGTGCATCGACCAACTACGTCAAGTTTGTCGAAGAAGGGTCCGTGTGCGTCTACAGCATCGGCTTTGCGACGCCTGCCGCGTGCTCGACAGAGTACGTGCGCCATCTGCAGTCAATGCTGCGGGCGTCGGCCCACCACGATGAGCTCTAAGTCGATGAAAGCCCCAGCCAACACGGATAATTTTGACTCTGGAGAAACCATATGTGTTGCTACGCTAAGACCGCCACGTCCACAACGCGGTAGCCAGCGCACCGACAAGTTGCCTCTTGGCTGGAAGGGAGAGACGTACGACGTCCTTCGTTAGCTGCACTTTGTGCGACTAGCGCGTTCGAGCAAGTCGTAAAAACACCTAAAAGTATGCGGCACTTGATCGTAGGTAGAATTGCAGGCAGTGCTGCGACGACTGTGGCTTTGCGGTAGCGCACCATTGACAGTGTTGGCGTGTGGATCTCGCAGCGGGACGTACCGCGAGTCGACGATGCTTGGCTATTGCTATCGACAAATTTGGAATGAAAGTCCAATGACATCAGCCTGGCCTCGGAGACGACGTTGGCGTCGGCTTGATCTTTACGGCTGCAAAGTGTCAAAATCGAATGTGGCCCACCGTTCAACCCAAAGAGCACAACGTGTTGGCCAACGTATTGACCCTTGGCGACACTGACGTTGACACAATGAGGTTGGGTTGGAGATTCGACAAATGATGCTGTTGGCGGAGCTCATACTGGTCTCTCTGCGTGGCGAAGATGCCGCCCCAAGACACGGCCAAGCATGATTGGCCATCTCCTTTTGCAGCACGGCGTACGATTGCGCCACGTCATTATGCTTCTCGCCAAGCGCGCAAGGGACGACAAGTTTGTTGCGCTCCGCGATGTGCTGCGGCTCTTGCCCACCTGCACGTCGAGGCTTTACCCATCGATCCCGAATGCACTCGAATGACTCGGGCAGGCATCCCTGGCATCCTGACTCGTGACGGTGCCCGCGACAACGCTATCCTTGGCCAACGACAAGCGAATGCCACGATGGCCTTTTGCATTCGCTGCAAACCAGCACGACGCTGTGCGAGCGCAGTCGCACCAACGTCTGAGCCTTGGTGCAAGCCACCAAGGCTTGGCGGCTTAGGTTGTCGACCTTGCGACGTTTGCTCACGTTGGATTGGCTATTTGAATCCGACTACAGACATATTCTGCGTTAATTGACAAAAGATCTGAAAAGCGTGGGATTTTACCCATGCGTTGGGCATTTTAGAGCAATGCTAGCCGTACGATAGGCCCTGGAACGACATGTGGCGTTGGTAATCCTACTTGGTATATCTATTGCAATACTGAATGCAAGATAATAAGTTCTGCTTGTAACACAACACATATTTTGTATTGGTATACTCAACACGGGCTTATTTTTGTCAATTAACGCGGTTGTCAATTAGCGCAGAAGATGTCTGTATCTGCCAACCCGATCGCGCACCCGGATACGGAGTTTCGAAGCGTATTTCACAAACCGAGATGACCGACAACGAGCGCAAGCCGAGGGCGGGTCAGCCGACGCAGCCGGACGCACTCGCCCTTCCGCACGTCGTCGAGGCCATCGCCACGTTCTTGAGCAGCCAGTATGACTTAGCAGCTTCCTCCGATGCCACGATCTCTCTGGACGCCAGCACTCGCAGCCTTTCGCAACTCCAACACGGCCATGCCATCGTCGGTCCGCGCCGAGTGGCCGCGCATCGAGCTGTTCAGCGTGGACTTGCCGTCTTCGGTCTTGGCGCTGCTTGCGGCGACGCTTCCGCTGCATCCACACGTTGAACTCCGGTGCTCGGGCCCGGACGTAGCGCAACTGGCTTCGCTCGTCGCCGTCTTCGGACCTGCTCTCCGCAGCGTCCGTCTTTCTTTTTGGCGCGGCGTGGTCGATGGCCAAGGCCACGCAATCGCCACTCTCCTCTTGCAGCACTGCCCGCGTCTGCGCTGCGTGTCTATCTACATCAATTCCTATTCGCAGAACGAGGTCGACGGTCTGCTCGCCATCGTCACCCACCCGAACGTCAAGCAGTTGGCCGTAAACATGCAGGGGACGACTACTATTGCGCCGCGACTCGGGCATCACTTGGCCGCATGGCTCTCGACGGCGCCGGCGACGAAGCTCGACGTGGCCAACGTCACCCAGATGGACCACGATGCTGCCGTTGCGTTCTACGATGCGCTGTAAGCCAACATGATGCTGGACGACCTCACTATCACCAATGTCGCCAGTCTCGGTGGCTTCCACGGCCGCACGCTCCCAGTGTCGCTGAAGAGATTCGAGTGGAATGGGCGGAGACGTCGACGACGCAACGGTGACGGACGTCGCAACCGCCGTCGGTCGCACGCAGCTGAAACACCTCAAGTGTCAAGTCTTTGGCCAACTGGCGACATGCCCGGCCGCGGCGCCATTGCTGTCGCAACTGCAGTTTCTCACCGTCCACGGGTTGGACGCCGGCCACGCACAGGCATGGATTGCGGGCTTGTCGTCGGTCTCGGCGCTGAAGACTCTCACACTTCACAACTGTAGCGTCTCGGCGTCGACGCAGATGCTCGTGGAGACGCTCACGACGGCGTGCGTGCCTATGACCCACCTCGAAGTCTACGATCAGAATGACACCACTGCTGTCCTTTCGCGCTGCAACTTGCCGCAGTTGAAATTAGTCGTCCTGTGGATGCGCCTGCTGCTCCCAGAGCTCTACCTGTGGGCACTGGTCGCGACGTCTCATTTGCGAACAGCACATTGCCAGTGGGGACGGACAAATACGTTGTCGACGCGTTCAGTCGACGCACCGATCGTCGCCACAAGTGTCGTTTGCATCTGTGATCGCTTCGAAGCGCAAATTTGTCATTTTGTTCTAGGTTGAAAGGTGGTCATTGGGAAGCCCTAACTTAAGGTTCCAATGAAAGCTATAACACCTTTGACGATTGAATCTTGCACCTCCTGCCACCGTCCGTTGATTGAAATCTCCACCTGGAGCCAACGCTTTTCATGGCGCACCTTGAAAAGAGAAGTATCAATGTTTCAAGCTTAGCGCACCACGGTGCAAGGCGAGTGGAAACGAATCGACTTGGCGCCACCATGAAAGTGCTGCTTGCCATAGAGATGGTGCTTTCGACCATATGCTTCCAGTATCGCGTCGTCCTCGGCACAACGATGGCCTCCGCTACTAAACACCAGCGTCATCCGCGACGTCAACGCCAGCGCCGCGACCAGTTGCTGCTTGGCGGCAAGCGAGAGACCAGCACTGGCAATCGTGATCTTGACCGTGTGTGAATTGCGCGTCTGAGCGAGCGCAGTCGCAAAAGCTTCCGCACACACATCGCTCTTGATTGCAAGACGGATCTCGCACGCCGTACCTCGGCGACTGAGCCATTGCGGTAGCGCACCAAAGATGATGTTGGCGTGTGGATCTGGGAGCGGGTCGCATCCCAGATCCAGCTGCACGGTCTTTGGCGACGACCCAAGAAACGCAGCCAGCGACTCGATGGCCGCGTCTGAGAACGTTACTGAGAACAGCTCGAGATGCCAGAGGTGGCGCAGTTTTGGGAACCAGGTCAGATGCACCGCCTGAAGCGCAAGTTTGGTCAGCGCCGGTAGCTGCGGCAAGACGGAAACGACTGGCGTCGCATCGCAACCGTCTTGCAGCCACACATCCAAGCTTTCAAGGCGCGAACGTGAAATCTTGGCGGCGAGCGCGGCCACATCGGCTTCACCAAGCGCTGTCGGTGGATCGACGTCGTCGTCGTCGTCGTCGTCGTTGAAATCGTAGTCGTTTTTGAGCGCGTAGTCAAAAATTATCAGGTGACGCAGTTGCGACGGCAGCGGCGGCGACGACGGACTCAAAATCGCACGCGTGAGGCTCGGGACTGCAGACAAATTGGTTGTCTCGAGCGTACTCGATGCGAGCATGGCCACCGCCAGCTCTACGCCGACCTCGTCGTAAAAGTCGGTCCCTTCCAGCTCGAGGTGACGCGCGGTGGGTAGCGCCAGCCACGCAACGAGGGACTTGCAGTCGGACATGGGCGATAAACTCGACGAGCCAACCCAGATACGCTCGACCTGGGAGCATGTTGCAAGGACAGCGGTCAGCGCAGCGTCAAACGCGGCTTGTTCTAGGTTTTCTGACTGGCGCATGGTCACCGCTCGGAGGCCATGACACGTCGAGACGCTGTCTGTGAGGACTGCCGCAACGTCCAGAGGGAAATCGCTCGTGACTCTGAGATCCACGAGGTTTGGAAGCCACTTGCCAAGGGCTGCGCGGACGCTGGTGGCACCCTGAACGTCACAGCGCACGGTCGTCGTTGGTGCCAGTTCTGTGGAATGACAGATCGCCGCCTGGTCCTGGGCGCGCGTGACAACAATCTCTCTGAAGAGAGGAAGCGCCCTTGTGACGACGCTGGCACTGATGCTGTAGACTTCATCCAGACATTCGGCGTATGGCGTGGGCCAAAGCGACAGCTCCACGTCCATAGCCAAGAGCGTCCGGAGCGCGTCGAGCGCGTCATCAAGGCTGCCATTGGGCGCCGCTTGAAGAAAGGCGTGTGCGTCGTCGGCGTCGTCGAGGTAGTCCAGAATCTGCAGCGCGATCGGCGATAGCAGCCACATTGCCACTCGGTTGTCGGTGGTCAGTGTGATTGACATCGTGTAAAACGTGCGAAACGCTGATGTGCAACACATTCCCCACATGTTTCCCACTGGCACCACTCACAAGTCCACAGCCGCCATCAACTGCAACTGGTACGGCCCCACTTTCAGAATCTGGCCCACGCTCAGAATCTGGCCCACTTTCAAAATCTGGCACAGTGCTACGCGCACCGTACAAGGCGCAAACACACTTGACGCCGTCGAGGTCTCGTCATCACAGGACGTATCGACGAGAGGTGGTGTCTGAACCGTCAAGCAGACGTTAACGGTTTAACGGTTTACAACCATTCACTAGCGAGTCCTCAGTTGGCAGTCTCTTGGCGCTCGGGGCGGGTGGGGGGCAGCCGCGTCGCCATCGGAAGCAACTTCACGGCCGACTGCTTGACGGTGAACGCTGGATGCACCCGTCCCCCACAAAGACACCTACATCGTCCATTATAGCAGCGTCTCAAACGGTCCATCGATTGTCGTACTTGGAGGTCGTCGCGTCCCACTGCCACTGCCCTACAATGTGTGCGCAGCCCTCTTTCGGGCACTTGACGCTGCCCGTCGCCGCCGTCATTGGCCCGAACCACCGCAAGGGCTCGAGATACCACAGGTCGCAGCCACTGGTGAGCGCCGCAAAGTGCTTTTCGTCGTCGCTTATGACGGCCGAGACGCGGCGTCTGCACACGTGATCTAAGACCGTCCTTGCCACATTCACAGATCTTACATTTGGCATCGGGACCCGCGCTTTTCGAGCTCTTTGAGCTGCGCGCGCCACGTACTGAGCTCGGCGTCCGGCGTCGCCTTGGTCTTGGTCTTGGTCGTCTTGTCACTGCTGTCGTTGGTCGGACTCGTGAGCCGAAAGCTAAACTGCTTGGACCACGCGCGCCATATCTTTTTTCGCGATGACACCGACTTGGTCGGTGACGTCACGTGAATTGAGGACGGGACAACCTCGAGGCTGGCGACGTCACGCAGCATCGACTCGAGCACGCGCTGGTCGGCGATCGCGTCCGGGCGATTCGCCACTTCGTCGTCGTCGTCGTCGTCAAACGGACTCGCGTTCGGGTCGACGGAGAACGGTCGGGACGGCACCTGCTGGCGGCCGCGCGGCGTCTACGCATGTTCCGTTGGTCTAGTTCAAGATGCCCACTGTCGAAACGAGGGTACCTCGGGACAGCTCGCCGCGCGTTTGCGGTCCACAGCAATCGTCCATGCTGCCGCGTCGGTGCTCGGCGTGTGCTTGAGAACGTTGGCCGTGCAGAAGAGCGTCGTGCTACACTCGACGCAGCCGTAAACGTGGCCCATGGACCGTAGCGGCGGGATAAAGTGCTGTGTCTTGGGCGACGACGGCCGTGTGAGGTAAAACCCACTCGGCACGATGCCGAGCAGCATGCGCTTGTCTGTCTCGGCGCTCTTCTTGATCGGGTCGAGCTCGATGGGCAAATGCTGCGCGTGCCGGGTCCGCGCCCGTACCATCTTTGTCTGGAGTAACAGCTGATGGGCTCTAAAGACATCGAGCTGCGCCTTTTCCAAGCATTGCAGTTGGTCTTCGAAGCCTACGCGGCTTGTCAGAATCGATCGCCAAGTCGAGCGGAGTACCCGTGTTGAGCGCGACGACTGGTCGCACGGCCCGTAGCTTGGCAAAGGCGTCGGCGTACGGAAAGCCTTGTGTGAGCATGATGTAGGCCATCGCGATCGCCGGCGACCGCGACCGCCCGCCCGCGCTACACCAACCTCGTCTCGCTCATGGCGTGTCAAGGAGCGCCTGTACCAGTGGACGAGAACGCCGCCGTTCTGCATACCCGCTTCGAGAAAGACGGTCGTGACGGGGAGGCAGCTGAGGAGGTTTGTGTACTCCTTGTCGCGGAGGTCGATCGTAAGGTACGTAAAGTCCTGCAAGAACCGGCCATGTGAGCCTAGAGACAAGGCCATGGCGGTACTCGACCTGCGGGTACGTGGCGACGGTGCCCGAGACGTTGAGCACATGCGTGATCTTGCGCTCCTTGATGGCCTCAAAGTTGAAGGCCGCATGGATCGAGCCGACCCAGAGCTTGGGCACGACTTCGGACGGGATGTTGTCCTACGCGTGGCCATGAGGCGCGTCGTCGCCACGGGCGGCCGTGCACCTGGACGAGCGCGGGCTGGAGCGCGAGACTTGGCGGCTTCCGGGCGCTCATCGGGTCGCTGCTTGCTGGCTCGAGGGCGTAAAAGTTGCTGCTGTTTCGGGCCGTTACCGGGTTTCTGGAAATATGTCTGCGCGCTCATTGGTCCATAAACATCATTTATAGCCAATCGTAGGATGCCGCCGCGACGTCTACAAATGCGCTGGCCGCATACGTGGCACGCTGCCACGCGTTTCGAACGCAGCTTCTTGAGCTTCAAGGCTGAGGTTTGTCTGGACAGTACCGTCATCGCTGACCTTATTCGCATTTTGAAATCTCGGCCGCGAAGTAGCCGCCTCTCTGACAACTGCGTGTCATCGCTCGGGGCCTTCAACATGCTTGACACGACATAGCCTCTTCTAGTCATTACGACCCCTCAAGCTCTACATTGCCTTTTCATTGAAGGGTAGCGTCCGATCCAAGCGTAAAGAGACCGGTGTAGCGACTCAACGAGCGCGAGTGTCGGATCCATACCTACGCACTGCCGCTGATGGCAACTGCGTCGGTTGGAAACCGCGCTTGCGACGCCTTGCCCACTCGAACGAGAAGATGCCAAGAACGAGCGATCCAGTGGGGCCTGATCGTCACAGCCGACAGTTGACCAGGACAGTGTATTCCCTAATTGTCTGGAGATGAACCCTTGCCTGCGAAAGAGCTCTGCACAGCGAACACCCCATGTCCTCTTCTACGCTCGATTGTACTTGGTAGCGTCTCTAGTCGCATCAAACCGTCACTCGCAATTTCATCAACTTGTGAAATTTGCATAAATTGGAGCAAAAATATCGCGCTACTGCACGGAACTGGCGTTGTGCCGGAGCTACTGCGACCAGCCTCGACTGACTAACCAGCCTCGACTGACTAACCAGCCTCGACTGACTAACCGGCCTCGGCTGACTCGCCTCGCCACGCAGTCGCAGACCAGCCTCGACTGGCTAGTGGCTTAGAGCGCCATGCACTATGCACCATGACCGCTAAAGTCTTGCAAGGCATTTCTCGTAAAATAATGTGGGCTAGTAGTTGGTATCATTGTCGTTGGCGGGAAACGGTGACAAACCGTTTCGCGACGCGCAGACAGGCGGTGCGATGACCGAGCCGAAGCGCGGGCTGCGTAAGGCAACGACCGTGAGCCTCCGCCGGCTCAAAGAGACACCGGAGGTTGAGGCGCCGAGTCGCCCGGCCACCATGCCACCGGCAAGTGCGACACTGTCGCCGCTGCCGAGTCGCCCGTCCTCACACGGCGAGATGCTCGTGCCCGAGCCGTCATGTGACACAAGGGACGCGCTGCGCCGACCAAAAGCCGTACTCTCAACGCGTTGTTTTGGCTGCGGCGGCCTCCCGGAGATGTGTCTCCACTGCTTCTCCAACTGCAAGAAGAACGACATGACCAAGTACAAGCAGAGCTTGGCGAAGGGCGTCGAATGGCTCTTTGTCAAAGCCACGTCCCGAGCGTTCAGCCATCTCTCGGATACGATCACGCAGTGGGTCTTTGGGTACACCGCTTCTTTTTCCTTGAGCTTGCTAGCGTTGTACGTAGGATGTGGAAATTTTACTGTCAGCAAAAGAAGCTCCACCGCCAGTACGCGCTTCGGCTCGTCGAGCGCCAGCGGCTCAAGCGCGTCATGAGCTCGTGGCGCATCCAGGCGTACGACCGACGTGCGTATGGTGCGCTCGTGTATGCCCAAGGCGAACATGTTGGTCTTGCACTTGGGGTTCGCGCACCGCAACACGATCATGTAGACGCGCGTCGTGGCGCTCGAGGCAGAACTCAACGCGCTCCAAGGCACTCTCACCGACCTCAAGCAAGAGCACCAAGTGCGCGCGCACTTGGACGCCGACAAGATGGCCAAGTTGCACGGCCTCATTCAAGAAGAGAAGCAGCGCGTCGTCGACAAGAACAAGGAGCTCGCTGCGATCAAAGGCCAGTTGGCCATCATGCAAGCCAGCTTTGCCGTGCGTTCACATGCTGATGGAGTGATATGTGTGTGTGTGAGAGGCTGTGGCTAGTCGCTGGAAGCGAAAGCCGAGAAGGCCGAGATGCTCACGGCCCTCCAAGCCGAACTGTTTGACTACAAGAAAGTGTGTTTTCAAATGTCCCACGAGCTCATTTCGCAAATGGAGGTACAATATTGTCTTTCGAACGTTTTTCATGCCCTTATGTCGTAGCGCCAAGTGGACGAATTTGCACTCTACGACGGACGTCAGTATTTCAACGACGTTTTGTCCAACGACGTGGTTAATTCCCTTGATTTGATGGAGAACCCGATCTTGTACGACCCCAGCTTCAAGGTATTACCTCGATCGCCTCGATAATATTGACGCAATGTGCACTAGCTCAACAAGGACGTGCGTCGCGAAGACCGCGAAAAAGCCAAAAAAGAAATTAAAAAAGTTTCGCCCATCAACTCGGCCCCCGTCGATCGCGCCGACCGCATTCTCATGCAGTGGGTGCGTGGCCACTGGATTGTCTTCATTAAATGATTTTGTTTCATTTTTACGTGTATTTTGCTCATTTTTTTATGATTTAGGTCAACTACCTCTTGCTCAAGAAGTCGCCACCCGATTGGCTCAAGGCGACGCGCATCTCCAACTGCAACACCAATCTTCAAGTAGCTCCTCGGTGGCATGTGAGATCTCATTCGTCTTTCATAGGACGGCAAAGCGTATGCGGTCGTGACGCGCATTCTTCACGACGCCATGTGCAATTGTACGACACGAAGATTGTCTTTTACAAATGGACATTTTGCTTGTAGTACGACCTCGAAAAAAGACGTACGAAGCCGCACTGCAGCGAGAAAACGGCGTCGCACTCACCGACCAAGCCGCCGAGCGCTACTTGGTATAGCACCTCCGACCTTGACAGATTGATACATTCCGACAGACGTTGATGATCAACGAGAGCGACGACCAGCGACGCCTCGAGCTCATGCTCAATACGATTGGACAGGCCATGTGGCTACCCAGCGAGGTCGACACAGTTTCTTTCCTGTGTCAGAATGCACTCGTACAAATTATGACAATATTTGTAGCTGGTCAAAGCCCAGGACATTATGGCCGGCGACAGCGACTTCAACTTGGTGCTGCTCGGCTACCTTTTTTGCACGTCGCCGCCCGTCGTGGAAGAGACCCACACGGAGCACTGCAATACGCTCATGCGGCAACTCACGCTTGAACGGTACAGATATTGTCCATCGATGCCTCAAAAGTTCGACTACGAATTACGAATGCGTAGCGCGCAGTGGCGCGAGTTTAAAGAAAAGGCGGACGCGAACGACGTGACGAGCGCTGTTTCGAAAAAAATCAAGGTCCACGTTTATCCATTTTTTGAAAAATTGGGACAATAATGGACAATAATGGACTATAATGGACTCTATGTGTAGCTCGCACTTGCGCACTTGCTCGAAATGAAAAAGCGGCTCGACACCGAGGTCAAGAAGGCCCACGACGGTCACGTCATCTGGTGGAAGAGCTCGCGTGTCGTCTTGCGCAAGTGCTTTTTAACCCTCTCGATGATGGCCCATGGCAAGTCGGGGTTTATGGTGGCCGCCGAAAAAGCTGCCGACAACGAAGGCTTCCTCCTCGTGCCCCACGATCGCATCGGATCGATTCTGTTTGACCACGAAGACGCCAAATGGTATTTTATCGCATTTATTGTATTTAAGTATTGCATTGGTATTCCTATGACTAGGGAAATCGACATGCTGCAAGGCTATCTCAATAGCGTCTACAACGACCTCTCGCGCATTTACCGCAGGTATACGGCGTCGATATTGCGTCGTTTTTATAGTTGTCTATAGCTATGCGAGTCGTGGCGCCACGACCGAAGTCGGCGTTATGAGCTATGGTGGTCTTCTCGAACTCCTTTCGGTATCGTGTAATATCAACTGGAGCTTGATACAATAGCGAGATATCGCATAGGAGTGCAACATTCCCGACAACAACTTTGCCCTCAAAGACATGGAAGGCATCTTTGCAGCCGTGACCGACACGGTAGACTTGGAGACTGGAGTTTGGTGCATAGACTATGACGCGTGGTGGTAGAAACCCGACAACACGGCCGACGGCGACGCAGTCATCGTCGATGTCAACCGCGCGCTGCTGCCCGCCGAGTTTATAGAGGCGCTCATCCGCATCGCTCGAAAGCGTTATAGTGGGCAGTACAAGACCACGGCGCTCTCCGAGTCATTTTGTCTTCTCGTCGACAACCAGATTCTACCGTACGCGTACCAGAACGACGCCGAAAAGTTCCAGAAACAGGTTGCCAGACGCGTTCTTTCCAGATCTCAGATATCAAATGCACATACTAGATGGAGTCGCCAGGGCTCCGCAACATGCTCATCAAGTACCAAGACGACATGAAAGCGCTGTTTACGCGGGTGTGTCGACGACTAGCGTTCTGTCACATGACAATATTGCTAGTACTCGGTGGACCAGGGCAAGAAGAAGACTAAGACGACCAAGATGACGGCGTATACGCTCATGAAGTTTGTGTCGGACCGCAGCGTACGTCTCCATTCTTGATGTATAACTATTGCAACGGGATGTTTTGCATCGTAGCTCGAAGACGACGTGTTTACGAACGAGCGCGCGCTCCAAGTCGTTGGCCACGCTGTCCGTGCCCGCGCCATCTCCAAGACGGAGCTCATGCAGCAAGAAATTACATTTGACGCCTTCCAAGAGACTATGGTCGCCATGGCCTGCCACAAGAACCCGGACCCGTACGTCTCGGTCGAGAACCGGTTTCAGAAATTTGCGACCATGTACATTGTGTCAGCTGCCTAACAGACAATATGTATCGAGTTCTTCCATTCTTCTTCTGTCATCATTGGTTCATTCAGAATACGACTTTTGTCCCGACGCCACGAGGTGGCGCCATACTACGAGCGTCGCCCCCACCGAGGCGTCGCTGCTCGGTGCCAGGCGTAGCGGCGCGCCCGTGCGGTCTTGGATGTAGTAGCGTAGGAGCTCGTTGCGAACCAGAGCATTCCCGCTCCCGACCACACTATGACATGTCAATATCAAAGTATCAAGGTATCAATGAGTACCACCGCGACTGGAGCGATCCTTGGAGGTGCGTCGGGAGCAACGCAAAGAGGTTGTCCACGATACCTCTCGCAATCGCCGCGCTCATGTCGCCCAGTGTCCAGTTGTCCATGGCGAGCTGCGACAATGTGCCCTAGCAGAAAACTCGTCGAACATTCCACCGACTGCAACTGTACGGTCTCCAAGCCTGGCGTGCGCTCGCCCAGTAAGGTCGGGCGGCACTGCAGCGTCGTATCGCGCTTGGCTGCTGCAATCACAGTGGCGTAGACGTCGCTCGGTGCGAGGGTCACCGACGGACACAGACAACGTGTCCATTCGATGGCGGACGCGACAAAGGCCGCAAAGACGTTTCCCCTACCCCTAATTTCGAAACTCGATCTTGGGTAAGAGACGTGTACCCCGTCAAGGCGGCGACGACCGCGATCTGTTGTGCGTCAAAGTACGGTCGCACTTCAAAGCTGCCGCTGCTGGAGCTCTCAGTCGTAGTCGTCGCACTCTCCAACACAAAGGCGAGTTGGGCCGAGGTGCCAATGTTGACAACTAACGCCACGATGTTCGACAATTGCTAAAGCGAGATATACGTACAGAGCGCCGAGGTTGCGTCGAGGGCGGCAGAGTCGAGCAAGGCAGCAACTGCACACGGATGGTCACCCATGGGCACGTACACGGGAACACCCAGCGGAAGGCCAAAGGTGACCGCTGCCGGCGCCGACGACTCACCGACCACGTCGATGCCTGGCCGGCGCACGCGCGGCAGCATCTGCGGCGGAATCCCACAGGCGTCCAGCCTACGCAAACCGTGCAGCGTGCAACGATCGCGAAATAGATGCAGCATACGTGGCAGCGTCCCAGGACAGTGTTGCGAGATCGAACCCGCCCCAGCTGAACGCGTTGGTCGTGTCCATAGAGGCGTGCGCCGGTGACGAGAGGCCGGCGAGGACAAAGGCGACGAGATCCATGATGGTGCCGCACGTATCAAAGCGCTCCAGCGTCGCAGGTGCGTGCGCGAGGACGTGTGCGTACGTGGCCACGCCGTAGCCTACAAATCTGATGACGTCGACGAGACGAGGCGGTGGGCCGCACCCGACGCCAAAGGCGACGGCGACGATGCCTCGGGGCCTGCAAGAGCCGCTCGGCGCTGCTGCAAGGTGTCAAGAAACGGTCGCGAGCAGCGCGTGTCTTGCCACGTAATGAGCTCCGACCACGGCAGCGGGTGCGGGGCGTCGGCAAAGTGGGTGGCGGCCGATGGGACTTCCGCGGCCGACCACCACACGATGCCATGCATCTACTCGCCATACAAGCGTTGCTCGAGCCGAGCGTATGCAGGTAGCCAATCGAGTACCTGGCCGCAGATGGCAATGGCGTCGAGCTGGACCGCGTCGAGCAATGCGCCAAGCGAACGCAGGGCCTCCTGCAAGGCCCGCAGGATGGCCGAGACGGCGACGACCGAGCCAGGTGCGTGGTTGATCGTAGCACTACTTTGACCGAGGATCTCGTGCGAGGCCGTCGTGACCGAGCACTTGATCGCGGTCGTGCCCACATCGAGGCCAAGCACGGCTGCCGGTGTGGCCATTCCACCCACTTTTTTCGTATTGCGTGTTGCAAGCCATACTGGCCGATCGCAACAGTAATGCAGTCATCGCCGAGCTTGTTGGCGTCTTTTGCGCAGACAGAAACGTGCCACGTGGAGCACAGCATCCTGCATAGAAAGGGCGTTGACAGCGATCCAAGGCGCAGCCAAGCGAGCGCAACGGCCGTGTAACGCAGCATGACGTGGCACTATTTCCACAACGCACAATATTCAACTGGCTGGAATCACGCAACTTGATAAACTTAATGCTGCCATGGCCTGACAAGCTGGTCAAACTGCACCCATGGAGGCCCATGGAGGATGTGTACCGAAGCATTGGCGTGCCAGCTCATGCGAGCTGCTCGTGCGCACCTCATCGTGGACGGCCACTGTCGTCCGGACGCAGCCGCGACGGTGTACCCAGGTCTTCTAGCCAAGATTCGGCGGCTCCTGATTGGCCGTTGAGTTCAAGCAGACGGGCCAGGCCAATCTCCATTGAGCGAAAGAACACGTTGGCCAAGGATCGCATGTCGGTGTGGCCGCTCGTCGTGCTTCTCGCGACGATGGCCATGGCGACCGAGGCGCATGGCGCTCGTCCGGCGTACAACGAGTCGCACGCGCTGCACCTCGCTCGGCTCTGCGCGGTGTCGTACTGCCAGCACGACCACGTCGACCAGTGGAACTGCTCGCCATGCGCGTACGTGGCCAAGCCGTCGCATCTGCACATCATTGCCGACGTCAAGGAGAACTTCCAGGGCATCGTCGGGTACTCGGAGGACCACATCGTCGTTGCGTTCCGCGGCAGCATGGACATCAAGAACTGGCTCGACAACCTCTCGTTTCTCAAGACGCGGCCATGGACCGACTTGCCGGATGTGTACGTCCACCAAGGCTTCTATTGGGTCTACGAAAGCATTGCCAAGCAGCTCTGGGCCGCGCTCTCGGAGCTGCGCACGGCGTACCCGCACGCGCCGATCATCGTGACGGGCCACTCGCTCGGCGCCGCAGTCGCGGCCATCGCGACCGTCGACCTTGCCGCGCAGCACAACGTCTCGGTGGCGCAGCTGCTCACGTTTGGCGAGCCGCGGGTCGGAACGAAGGGCTTTGTAGCGCACTTGCTCTCGATCATACCGTACCTCGGGCGGGTGACCCACTGGCGCGACCTCGTGCCGCATGTCCCGTTCCACTGGCTCGGCTACGTCCACGGCGCGCAAGAGATCTGGTACACGGAAGACTCGAGCGTCTACACGTTCTGCGACCCAAACGACGGCGAAGACCCGCACTGCAACAACCAGTTCAAGGCCACGGCCAGCATCGCCGACCACTTGGTCTACCTCAACATTTCGATGAGTCATCTCTTGTGCTAAGCGTCGATAATGTGACTGCACACTATTACTGTGGCATACAGCATTTTCGCAAAAGAGCTCGACTCGGTCTCCTCGGAGCAGACACGGCTGACAGATTGTGCAGTGCAGTTGTCGCTGGGCTGGAGGTTAGGGTCCAGACACGGCTGTAGACGCTGCCGACGACAAAGTCGTGTGCTATATAGGACGTGAGCAGCTCCAACGGCTCCTACATGCACCTATATTCATGCGTCCATAGTGAAGACTGCGAGCTGTGGAGCTGTGGTGGCGGCAACAGCTGTGGACGCCTGGATGCACCTGTGTTCGCCACTGTTCTTCTCATGCAGTTGTACCCGGCGGGTCGGCCACATGTACTAGGCGCCTGCTGCTTGTTTTCTTCTTCTTCAAGTAGCAAGGTTTGACGCTCTAGCTAAGGCGCTCAGAGCTAGCCGAGTGTACATGGGTCCCGGCGCGGCTCCTTTTCGGATATCCTCTCTGCGACACACGAGTATGTCATCACAGATGCCCTTATGCAGTCGATCTGCGCGATGCTCGGTGCTTGGCGCGATTCGTGATACGAACTGTCGATGGCCTTCAGCACCAAGCAGAGGCCATGGAAGAGAGTGCAACATGGGCCAGAAGCCTCATAGCATCCTGCCCTGATCTCCATATTCCTTGCGTCTGCGCACCGTGTACGTGTACTGTGGGTGAGGAAGAGGCTTGCTTGGCATGTACCGCTACGAGCTCTCATGGGTTTTATTGACCCATGGAGCTCTGCACCCATGCGACCGCAATGATCTTTCCGACTTGAAGTTGAATTCAAGCCAATCGTTTCACGTGATGATGTATACAGCGCCTCTGATTGGTCTATAATGCGCCAATGGCATCGACGCCTGCCACCGGCACCACGGTCGACTGAGAGCACTCTTGAATCCTCATGCTCGCACGAACGCCCCTGCTCCGGGCGCTTGGCCGCCAGACGCGGCGCCATGCGTCGTCTCTGTCGCTGCCGATCATCGACCTCAGCGACGAAGCAACAACCGTCGCTGCCTTGGACGACGCCTTCTCGACGTTTGGCTGCTGCTACATCAAAGGTACTACTTGCAATATGCGAGCGCGATTGTAGAGCGAAGCATCTCTTTTGCAGGTCATGGCATCAACCTCGAGAAGGAAACGCATGTCATGAAGGCAGCGCACGAAGTCTTCCGCATGCCGGCCGAGGCCAAGAAGCTCTGCGAGCGCCCGAGCCTCGGCAACGGCTTCATTCGCGGCCACATTGGTCTTGGCGGCGAAAGCGGGAGCGAACTCATCGAAGTCAAGGAGGCTTTTTCGTACGGCTACGAATGGCCGGCGGACGTTGCGCCGACCAACCCCCTCCAGGGTCCCAACGTGTGGCCGCCCTCGACTGCGCTCGATGTGACGCACCAGCGCACGCTGCAGTCGTATTTCACCGACCTCACGGTACACGCATCGTCTTGCTCCATCTTGGACCCACGGCCTCTTCTCTAGAACATCTCGACGACGCTGACGCGCAACATGTCTCTTGCGCTTGGGCAGTCGGCGTCGTACTTTGGCGACTACGCCAAAGAAGGCGACACGATCTCGATCATGCGCGCGTTTCACTACTTCCCCTACGACAAGCTGCGACGTACCGTGTCTTGCATTCACATGACAACATTGTCCAAATGTATATATCCTAGGCAATGCGTCCGACACCAACTTTGTCGGGTCGAGTCCGCACACGGACTGGGGCTTTCTGACGCTGATTTTGCAAGACCCGACCGGCGGCCTCCAGTTTCTGCATGAGAACGAGTGGATCGACGTGCCGTACATCCCCGGCACGATCGTCGTCAACGGCGGCGACTACCTCTCGCTCCTCACCAAAGGCAAGTGGGTCTCGCCGATCCATCGCGTTGTGAGCGAACACACGTCCGACGAGCGCTACTCGATGGTGTTCTTCTACTACCCCGACTACGACGCGCGTATTCCCAAGCCCCAAGGCGTCAAGCAGACTGCGACCGCCATTGCGTCGACGCTCAACACGCTCGTGGATGGATCGCTCGACCTCGAGAAAACGTCGTTCGGCGAGTACATTGCGTCCAAATGGGCCAACGTCCAGCGCTCGACCTAAGCTTCTCAATGCATCTCGAAAGTATCTGTCTTCTCGTTCACATCGATAGACCGCCTAGCGTCAACACATTCGTGTCCTCCGGGCTAGGGTTAGGCGTAAGGTTTCTCGAACGCTGTGACACGCTGTGACTGGTGTTGTCGGCAAGTCAGCGTGCGATGCAACGTCGTGATGATGTAGTCGGTACACGAAAGAGAACTAGAATTAGAAAGGCGCTCATTGGGGTCCACAACGACTAGCTCTGGATGTCGGAGATCTTGCCCGTGACCTGCCACGCCATCATCTTGCGGTCGCCCGACGTCGTAAAGAACGTATGCGCCGGGCCCGGCACGATGCGCCGCACGGCGTCCGTGTGCCCGACGTTGGTCTGGCTCTTCCCAAAGATCGTCTTGTACTTGAACGACGGCAGTTCCTTGACGACGATCGAACCATCCTACATCGTCATCTCAACACCGGTGGACGAGGCAAGTAGGCAGTACGTCGTGGCCCAAGAGCAAGAGCGGACAGTCGACCGCATCGGTGGTCGTGCAAATGGCCAGCGCCGGCGAGTCCAGTGTCTCGGTGTACATGGCCGCAAACGGCGGCGAGAGCTGCCACACGATGATCTGCTGGTCGTAGCCCGAACTGATAAGGAACGGCTCGCCGTTGCTCACCCAGATCTCAATGTCGAGCACAATGTTGGCGTGACCGCCCGTCGCCCGCGAGAGCACGGTGCCGCACTTGTACGTGGCCACGTCCCAGATGCGGATCGTGTGGTCGCGCGACGACGAGATCAATCTACGATCGAGCATGTCAGCATGACATACCATAATGAAAAACAACGTACGCGGTCGTCGCGCCGAGCTGGACGACCTTGAGGCGCGTGATCGCGAGCGCGTGGCCTTCCATGACGCCCGCGCATGTAAACGCGTTGGTCGCCGCGTCAAACATCCAGTAGGCAATGCGGCCGTCGGCGCCGCCGCTAAAGATGATGGGCGCGCCGGTCGCCGGGTGCTTGGCCATCGCGAGCGACGTCACGTTGCGGTACATGGCAAAGGGCATCTCGACGCTTTGCTATCGACGCGGTCGCATGAGATGTCGTCATCTTACGAAGCGTACCGCGAGTTCCATGGGCGGCATCGACGGGTTCTCGAGGTTCCAGCACTGGATCCTGCCGACAGGCACGTCGGGAATCGCCGGCGTCTGTTCTTCGTAGCCCACAAAGAGGAACGGGCTCTCGAGGAGCAAGCTCGAGACGCCTTCCGTGACCTTCTGCACGGGAAAAATATGAGCAACATGGGATGCAAAAGATGCTTGACGTACCTTGCTCTTCTCGACAGGCAGCGTGTCGATCTCAATCTTGCACTGCGGAATGACTGCGGCCTCCTTCATCGTGTCGAGTGCCCATAAGCGAAGCGTGCCATCGGACGACGCCGTGAAGGCCTGCTGGCCCCAGAGCGCGACATCACGCACCGTGCCATTGTGGCCGCTGGCCATGCCCAGCCGCTTGAGGAAGTGGGGCGCCCGGCAGTTGTCGCGCTGGCAGCGGTCGTCGAGATGGAAGGTGCAGATCTCGCAGTTCGCGAAGCGGTTGCCGCCCGAGTAGTTGCTGCGCCCGCCACGGCCGCGCCCACCTCGGCCGCCCCGGTCGTTGTTGCCAAACTGGTTGTTCCGGCCGCGGTTGTTGCCGTACATCGCTGCTGTGCTGCCCGCCGACTAATTAAACTCTATCGGCCACTCGGCGGCCATCACGCCTTTTTGACCAATCATAAAATTCGTACGTTTGCATCCTCCCGAACTTGGTATTTGTATGTAAAATTAAACCTTGGAAATGAATGTGCACGTGGGTTTCGCAGCTCACGACGGTGGCGACGACCGAGCCGCTTGCCCCGACCTGCGGGCAGGGACCGGCGAGCTTCGCTTTCGCCCACGGCCAAGGACGCCATGCTCTCTGGACGCATGCAGCGTAGGGTTAGCCCATGCAAGATGGAGCAAAACGCAAGTTTCCTGGCCGGTAGCGGCGACAGGCGGCAGAGGCGCGAGCCCACCACCATCATTCTACGCGCGTCGGTGTCAAGCCAGCCGCATACGGGAAGAGGTGCAAGCAAATAAGGCACGAGTGATGTTCAATCGTCAAGGATCATGAAACAAAGTGGCCTTGTTGGTCACTCGGCTGGTCGTCGCCTTGGCCTTGGATCGGCACTGTGGGGCATGCAAGTGGGCACGAGATCTGCGTTGCCAGTGCGGGAACACCATCCCTCCAGTCGCAGCAATAACATCGTGGTGTCCCGACTCTGCATAGCAGAGTAGATCTCAGTCGTAGCTCTAAGATCTTGAAGAAGGTTGGCTGGAGCCTTCTCGCTGTGGGTTTCGGAAAAACGTTCACCCCACTGTCTTCAGATTTGATTGACGCCGTCCTCTCGCTTGCAAAGTTAATGTGGCTCGTCGCTCTTTTGCCGGTGCTCTTGCGCGCCGTCGCCGCGCAGTCGCACCAGTGGGTCGAACACTTTGTACGTTCTGGCTCCTTGTCTCCTCTCGCGCAAACGCCCTGTTTGTCTAGTATGGCTTTGTGCGGGGCGACAGCTATCAGTACTTTACCTTTCACGGTACTTGTACGTATTTGATCGTTCGAAATCATCCACTTGTGTCTCTAGTGCCGCTGGGTGTCGTTCAGGTCGACGCCACCGTCTCGCTGAGTCTCCTTGGCGGCCGGACGCCGCCGGTTCTCTTGCTCAAGAAGAATGGGATTCCGTCCGAAGCCGACTATGACGTGCGCTGGAACACGAGCGCAAACAACACGTACATCAGCAGCAGTATTCCCGACCTCCAAGTACACAAAACATTTTCTTTTGTGTACAAGTTGTCATTGGACGTGTAGACCGGCATATACTATGCGACAATGTGGGGCGGCAACATCATGGAGTCCATCAACACGTTTGGCGTCGGGCCGTCGGTCAACATGTGGTACTTTCTCGACTTTACGTTTCTCGCGTGCGACGACGCCGACGTCACGGGCGCCGACTGCAGTGTCAACGTCGTCCCTACCTCCAAGCAGCCCCAAGGGACGTCGCCCAGCTTGAAGCAGGGCTCGGTGCCCGTCGACTGCCTCGATGTCGGTGACCCGACCCGCGTGTTTACCTTCGAGTTGCCATCGGCCGCTGCGGGGCTCTCTGCCTTTGTGCGTCATCAACTGCCAAAGTTTCGTGTCTGACGCATTTGTGATGTTGTAGCTCGTCATCGACAAGACGAGGGGTAGCGTCGCGTGGGCATTGTATCACGGTCGCGCCAACCCACTCGCTGCCTCGGCCGTCGCTGTTGCCGCCAATAGCTCGACCAATGCAACGCAGTTGCGCGTCGACCGGCCTCTCCGCGGGTACGACATAATGTCCACACATCGAAGTACAAAAGTTGTCTAGAACCTGGCACATTGTGGTGTCGGTCACTGACGCCAACGGGTTTTGCTACAACGGCGATGGCGTCCCCTTCTCGCTTGCGTGGATGACAACGGTGCGAGCTCATTTGAAATCGTTGGATAGATAAGTACATATGGACGTAGCCTTGTGCGACGAATGACGCGCTCTGCGTGGCCGACTACGAGCTTATGGGCGCCAACCGCGACAGTGCGAACGGCGTCGGCGACTTTGTCTTGGCAGCGTCCTTTGCAAACCCGGCGCCGTCGGTCGCCAATGCCTCGGCACCCATCGGCTTTGTCGTCGACGTCCCAGCCATGTACGCCGGCGCCGCCATGACGCTGCAACTCGCGTCCAAAAATCTCACCAACGACGGCACCATCTACATTCGCGCCAACGGACTGCCGTCCCCGACGCTGTTCGACTATCGGTACGTGGCGCGACACGCAGTCGAGACCAATGCGATAATCTAGCTTTTCCATCGCGGCAGCGACTCCCATGGACGACCCGACGCTGCGTCCGTACAACCCGCAGGCGCCGCCACCGCTCGCCTTTCCGCTGCTCAAGGCAATGGACGACGAAGACGCAGTCTTTTGGCAGCTGCCACCGATTGTGTTTCCCAAGGTTGACGCAATTTGGTACATTCTCCTCGTGCCACCGCCGTCGCCGCCAAACTCGTCCTACGCTGTCGCTCTCAATATGGCGAGTCTGGCATGTCCGCCCGAGTACGCGTGCAGCAACCGTGGAACTTGCCTCGTCAAGACCTCGTACCAAGGTCTCTCGTACGGCCGGTGCGCGTGCCACTATGGCTACGGCGGTCGCCAGTGCGAAGTGTCGATTTACTCGACATCCGAGGTACCAAGGGAGCTCGACTCTAGGCCAACGGCGTTTTGGATAGCGGCTTGGTCGGTCGTGGCTCCTGCTTGGTTCCAACGCGGCCATCGTCCCCGCAGGCGTGTTTTCCTGGCGCCGCAAGCTCTACGGTAAGCAATCCAGAGTTACGCAAGCGGACTGAGTGTCTCTCTAGTCGAAGCTGTCCTCTTCTTTGGTTTGGGGATCATCTCAGCCTTGTACCATGCGTGCGATCTCGAGATCTTTTGCCTCTTACCGTATCCATTTCTTCAGGTACGCACGGTATGGTCTTGTACAATAGAGACAATTTGTGTTTTGATATAGGCAATGGATTTCGCGTTTACGTTTAACGCCATTTTGCTCGGGTTTATCCACCTCTCGGGCGCGTTCAAGCACGTCAAAGTACAGATTGCACCGGCTGACAGGTCGTTGATCGATGGCTTCAACGACTAGGCTGCGATGCAGGTGTTTGTGCTCGTCTCGCTCGTCTTTATGACCTCGTACGATGCCACGTCGATGCGCAACTGGCTCGTCATTGGCGTTGTCTGCGCGTGTCAATTTATTGGCTCGTGGACCTACTACGTAACCCTGGACGCGCTGCATTATTTATCATTTGCTGTGGACTAGTTGACGCTGGCCGCCCAGCGCCTCGGTTGCAGTCTTCCGAGGTACGCTCTGCTATTCTAGCTGCTGAATCGCTTGTCTCATATACGGCGTAGCGCGTTGAAGCGCTTCTTACTAAACAGCGACAATTTCGAGTATCGGTACTTGGTTTTGGGCTTTTTGCTTTTTGGCGGCGCGTTCGGCTGCTTCTTTGCTGAAGTTGGCACCTCGTATTGGCTCGTACGGCGACCCCATTGTACCACGAGTGACGACGTGGTGTCATTAGATCCACTCGCTCTGGCACTTGACCGCCATGTCATCCGCCTGCACGTTCATGGCGTTGCGCAAGAACATTCGGTACCGCTGCGTCGGAGCCGACGGCGTCGATGTGCTCTCGCACGACTACACGGTGCTGCTTCGGCTGAAAGCGAGTCAAGTCAACCCGTCCGAAGTGACACTGGACATCAACCCGTCGAGCACACGTCCTGCCACGCAGCCCGACCCCATGTGACGCACCAACACGCCGTTGTATACAAGAATGTCACATTGTCCATATTTGTCCACGTGAGGTGTGGGAAAATTCTTCCAAAAGAAGTTCTTTCCCAAATGATGACAATTCAAACAGTTGTTGCTGAGACGGTGGGTTTCTACCTTGTTACAACACCTAACCGAATATTTGTCCACGTGACAATATTGTCCACGTCGCCGTATCCGAGTCAAGAAACGGTTGATTGGCCATACCGAACAGCGTGTCCATACCGGCGGACTTTGAGATTGAATTTTGGCTTTTGTCGTCGGAGCGCGATGACAAAATGGTAGTATTTTCTAGTAGAGTAGTATGGTCTTAGAGCTTTTTCGGGTACGGTCGATAGCGCCGCGTTCGCTTCTCGTCGAGCTTTTTTAAAATGTCGCGGCGCAGGTGCTGGTCGATCCTTGCTGCGCGGGTCACTTTGGTCTGCAGCGCCCGCAGTTGGCGCATCCGCGCCGCAGACGCTTCCTTCGCATCTCTCTGTTCGTGCTCGTCGTCGTCGTCGTCACTGGCGCTGTTGCTGCTGCTGTCGCCGTCACTGCCGCTGCTGCTACCGTTCCGTGGCAGCGACTGGAGGCAATTCCAGTGCGGCGCCAAGTGCCGTCGCGTCGTCTCGATGGCGGCGAGCGCTGTGGCCATTGGCGGATCCAAATGCAGCGGCGGCACGGCGTCCCCGAGCAGCGTGCGTATGCAGGCCGAGGCCGACCGCGCAATCGACTGCAGATTGTACCCGCCCTACCCGCGCACGATCGGACATCTATCGATGTTTCAACCACCAAACGAAAATACCTCGAGCGCGAGCACGAGTTTGCCGTTTGCGAGCGAGCTCAAGAGGTGCGTCATCATGGCGTAGCCGCCGGGCGTGAGCCGACAGCGGCCCAGCGGGTCGCCCATCGCCGAGTCAAAGCCGGCCGAGACAAGGACAAGCTCCGGGTCGAACGACCGAAAGACGGGCATGAGCACGCGATCGAACGCAGCGAGGTACTCGGCGTCACCGACACCGCCGCCGGGCCACCCGATATTGACGTTGAAGCCAGCGCCGGCTCCCGACCCGACCGCGTCCGGCGACCCGGTACCCGGATAAAACGCGCCATTCCTAGTTGTTGGTCAATATTGTCGTTATACACTTTATAGCGTACCCGTCAAAGCGATGCAGCGAGCTGTAGAGCACTGTCGGGTCGTCCTCAAACATGTGCTCGGTCCCATTGCCGTGGTGAATGTCCCAGTCGACAATCAACACGCGCTTCAGGCCCAGCTTGTGCACAGCTGTCTTGGCCGCGACGGCCACGTTGTTAAACATGCAAAAGCCCATCGCATGTTGCGGCTCGGCGTGATGGCCTACAGGGCACGGTCCAGCTAAAAGTATCAAGAAAATATCAAGTACCGGGCGGGCGCACGATTGCAAAGGCGTTGCGGTACTCATTTCGAACCACCTTTTCCATCAAGGCGACGACGATGCCCGCGGACAAATGCGCGGCTGTCTTCGAGTCGGCGCAGCAGTACGTGTCGGGCGTCAACTGGTGGAACGGCAGTGTGAAGACCTCGTCGAGGTACTGGAGGTACTCGGGCGAGTGCACTCGCAATAGATCGTTTGGGTCTACGAGCACGTCCGAGATCTACACAGTCCGAGGTATAGGGTCGATGCAACACGCAATGAAGGCTACCTGCGTGCACCGGTCGACGACGCCGTCGAGCTGGCATTGGGCGTAAATGGCGCCGATGCGGTCGGGTCGCTCGGGATGCATGTCGTACATATCGCGCGGCTACAAGGTCAGGTGTGGCAAGCGGCGAAAGCGCGGCGACGGACCTGGATCTCGCGGTGGAGCTGCATGCGCGCGTCAAAGCCGATGGCCGTGCCCAGCGTGCGCGCGTCGTCGCAGGTGCGTGGCGTCGGTGCAAAGGCCGCGCCTTTCGCCGTTGCGCAGAACGAGCACGTCTCGAGCTGGTTGAGCTTGGTGCACACGACGCAGTTCCAGAGCGTGTCGTCGTGTGGCGGGTCGTCCGGCGGGTCGTCGTCCTCGCTCGCCGTATACGAGGTTCGCCGCGAGAGGCTGTTCATGGCGCTCGGCAGATGCGACAACGAACTGTAAATGTCCTCTTCCGACGCCGGGCCATCGTCGGGCACGCCCGAGAAGAAGCTGCCGGGCGATGAGAAGCCATGCACCGAGCCGTTGAGACCCAAACTCACATACGAGTCCGTTAAAAAGGGCGAGTACGTTGGTATATACGACGGAGGCAATGGGCTATACGTGGCGCTGCTGTTCGGCGTCTTGGCGCTGCTGTCGTCGTCGGCCATGGCGAATCGGCTTGTGCGTCGTCGCCGCGGCCGCCCGAGCTGTGAAACTAACGCAAAGAGGTTTTTCGGCCAAGTCGAAAAACAGTGCGTTTTATTCAGTCCCAGAGGTATTCAAATCGACAGGCCCGAGAGGCGGTGCTCTTATCTATTCCATTATTGAAATAAGATCCAGTTATCAAGGTGATCCATTTATAGAGGTACTTACAGCGAGAGGTTGCAACTCCACCAAGCGAGCCGGTGACGCTTCGGGCGACCCAGCATCCCTGGGTTGAACGACAACGCTTGTATTATATGGCACAAATGCAAGGTAATTCCCGGAGGAGAAGGACATTGTGTTTTACTTGTACAAGGTTAAACGGGCTATCGCCCACCGCCACGGTCGCAGCGTTCGCGCACTGCCCTTTCGAGCCCAGCAACGGAACGCTGTTGCTGGAGTAGGCAGCGACCACGTCGTGGTCATCGCCCGAGTCCCGGACCGTTTCTCGCCTTGAACCCGGCGGCGACGTTCGGTTTTATGGGTTTATGGGTTTTTTAAAGAGGTTTTATTCGAGGCAACCACGTGAAATCAAACGCACGCCAGGAAGAGCCAGTGCGAAATGACATTTGATGACAACGTGGACAACTTGTCCTTTTTAAAATAATAACAAAAAAGTAGCGAGGCTAGTCAAACTGGAATTTGGACGTGGACGACGGCCGGCGCACGCGCTTGGTCGCACCAGGTGTCCCGGCCGCGACAAAGTTGTGCGTCTTGAGCAGTCGAAGAGGAATGTCGCGCCTAGAGTGTACGAAATTAGCTCGTCAATAGGATAACGTTGTGGAGAATATTGAGCTCTACCCAATGGCCATGTTGACGTTGAGCCGCCGCAAGAGGTCTTGGATGGCAGCGCGCTGCGCCAAGGTCGTGGCGGCGCTCGAAATGTGATTCGTTGCATAATACATGAGCGGCGCTTCGACGGCCATGTCGGCCGAGCACTTGAGGTAGCGCAGCACGAGCTCGTACACGTTGCAGCGGCACGCTGTGTGGAGGTCGAGGAGGACGCTTGGCAGCGGCGGCTATGCAGAGACCATACAGTCCACACGTCCGAAGACAAGTTGTACAACAACTACGTACCAATAAATAAAATGACACCAAGAGACCATCCGACTGCATCGCAAAGAGCACGCGCGTCTCGTAGTAGGACAGGTCGTCGCGCGTGGTGCGGCGCGCGCGGCCGTGCCCCAAGAGCGCAAGCCGCCAGTGCTCGATCATGGCGCCGTTCCAGATATCGCGGTTGACGTGAAAATGCAATTTGGAGAGCTGGTGCTGCACCGACGCCGGCTGCTGCGCGGGCGCCGTGTCGGCCGGTGTCGGGACCGCCACGAGGCCCTGGAGCACAACGTAGGCAATGTGGCGCAGAAACGATGCAATCGACGAGTACGACTCGAACACGCGGAGCGGCTTGGCCTGGAAGAGAAACCAAAACGGTCCTCGCCGCCAGACCCACGCGACAGCGGCCAAGAGCCCGCAGACGCCCGTCACGAGCTGCGTCGCCTTGAAGTAGAACGTCGATGCAAACGCATACCGCAGCTACCATACACCCGCGCATGAGACTAGTACAATGCATGCAGCGTGGGCGTACGAGCGCAAGCTTGGCCGACGCGTACAGCGTCGCTATGAGGCAGCGCAAGACCGGCGACAGCCATGGCACACGCGTTCCGCGGAGGCAGTGCGCGGCGATCGCGACCCAGAGCACGGTAGCGACCGTCTCGGTGATGAGAAAGTAGATGGAGAAGAGCTCGATGTCAATGGGCTCGGGCGCCGACGTCCGTGGCGGGCCCCACGGCGCCGCTCGGCCGCCGCCGACGTCGGCAAACGGCCCTCGGCGGACAATGAGCATCGGTGGCGAATCTTTTTTTGCCATTTCGTTGGCCAATCCGCAGCGAGACGTTGACGAACGGGCAATCCTGTCACACCGCGTGAACCTATCACGAGTGTCTCAGCCTGGCCATCGGCCGGGTCGATGACAGGGTCGATGACAGGGCCGACGACAGGGCCGATGACAGGGTCGATGACAGGGTCGATGACAGGGTCGATGCATTCCGGGCTGGAGTGCAGCATTCTTGGCTTGGAATAAGGTATGAGAAAACGGCGGTTTCGACTAAAATTCTGTACTATCCACTGTCTGCGCGACGGCTGCCATGCGTGTTGGCAAGACGCAAGAATAAGAAATGATATGACTCGAGTGCGCGAGTGTCTGCACCACAAGTCGGCAACACGAGGTGGCGACTGCGTACGCACTGCCGCAAACTGTGCTGCGTGGGCGCACGACGCGTTTCCGTTCTTTACGTGCACGGCACGCGGCCTGCCACGTCACGTGAGCGACTCGTGGGAAGTGCCACTTGGGTCCGTCACAACAAACGACGTTGGGGCAGCTCGTTTTGGCGACGGCGTCTCGTACACTGTCGTAGACGCGTCTGGTCATCCGTGCATACACTGTAGGTCCACCGACGACGAAGTTGCCAAAGCCACTGGTGCAAAACACACTCTCTTCGCCTTGTACTACGTTATCGCAAGGGCTTTGACGTGGCTTTACCACTCGGAGCGAAGGTAGTCCTTGAAGAACTGGCCGGCAGCAAACGTAGGCGGCGACACTTGAAAGCCGCCAAAGATCGGGTCCAGAATGCGCGCGGCCGCGTCGATTTCGTCCAGCGGCGTCTATGTCGCCGCCGCCTGAGTGGCCCGTCTGGTTTGGAGGAGGTATATGTACCTGAAAGTTGTGCTCCTTGGCGATCGCTTGGGCCTTCTCGCGCGGGTTTTCATCGTTGATCCAGCCCTACCATCGTGTCATCTGAGCCACGGGATACATTGTCGTGACGCGCACCGTGTCGACCGAGTTCATGTAAATGCCGCGCGTCGCGAGGTCGTCGGCGCACGTGCGCGTCATCATGTTGACGGCCGCCTTGGCCATGTTGGTGTGCGGGTGGTGCGGCGTCTTGTAGCGGTAAAACTTGCCTTCCATCGCCGAGACATTGATGATAAACTTTTGCGCGTTCGGACTCTATCGCGATCGTCTCCAGTCCACCGAGATACGTACACTGTTGTCATACCTCGGCAAAGAGCTGGATCGCGCGCTTGTTGAGGATGAAGGGTGCGAGCGTGTTGATGGCAAACACCTCGGCCAGCTCTGGTCGATACAGAATGAACGGCGAGACAGGGAGCGAGATGTCGAGGCTACCTGGCGACTCGACGTGGTCGATCTTGAGCTTCCACGAGTTGGTGCTGCGCAAATCCACCTGCTGCGCGTTCGTATCGAGCTGCGCCACGGGAAACAGCGTCGCCTTCTCGTCGTTCGGCAGCGCGTCTTCCGAGTGCACTGGGAGCTGCGACATTTCCGCCGACTTGGACGTCGACGCGAGCCCCGCCGTCGTCGCGAGCGATGACGGTTCAGACGTCCCGAGCATGAGCGGCCCCGACGACTACGTATGCATATCGATGGTAGTGTGCTCAATATTGTCGATATTGTCGATATTGTACCTGGACCGTATGTTGGAACTTGGCGTTTTCCTTGAGGATGCCTTGGATCGACAGCGGCTTTTCATCGAGGCGCGTCCGTTCGTTCTCGAGGAGGTGCTAGACAATGCATGTGTGAGACTATTGCATGTGTACATGCGTGCTGTTGTACTTGGTAGTAGGCGGTCGGGCGACGAATGGTCTGCGTCGCATTGTTGATGACAATGTCGAGCCAGCCAAAGAGCTGGCCAATGTTGGTCATGAACGCTTCGACGCCGGCCAAGTCGCGCAGGTCCATGCCGTACACGTGCAGGCGGTCCTACCATAATTCAAGATGTTTCCGAGATTTTCCAAGCGATTTCAAATCTCATTGCGAAACGTACCTTCCAGCTGTCGTAGTCGGGCTCCTTGGCGTACCGAATGGCCGCATCGTGCGGGAAGCGCGACGTCGCGACAACAACGGCGTTGGCGCGCAGCAGCTTGAGCGCCGTGTGGTACCCAATCTTGACGCGCGCGCCCGTGACGAGCGCCTTGTAGCCTTTTTGTCGGTCAGCCAACGGACGAGCATGATGGCCAGCTGTACCTGTGAGGTCGGCAGATTGAAGCCGCTTCTCAAAGTTGAGCGTCGCGCACTCGGGGCAGAGCTGGTCGTAAAAGTGATGCAGCGTGTCAAAGCGTTTCTTGCACACGTAGCACGACCGGAAGCCATGGAGCTGCGGCTCGTCGTCCTCGCCGGCCATGGGCTCGTCGGGCGTGTCCTCGATCGCTTCGTTTGCGAGCAGCGGCACGGCGCCGTCCGGGATTTGCGGAAAGGCCGGGTTGGCGGCCGTAAGGCTGTCGAGTGCATCGAGGCGCTGCTTGCGGAGCTTCGTGTTGTTGATGAACTGCCGGTCGAGCGCGGCAGCTTGGGCCACCTTGCGCTTCCGCTCCTGCTTCTTGAGCCGCTTCTGGTCATGCGTCTGCACATCGTTGCCGTGGAAGACGCGGCTGCGGATATCCTCGCAGAGCGGCAGCACGGCCTTGCGCAGCGCCTTGAACTGCGGCAGCTTGAAGGATTCGAGGTCGTTGCGGAAGGTCTCAAGCACGCGGATGCATGTCGCCAGCTCCGCCGGGTCAATGGCTGGCGCGGTCGTGTCAATGGCCGGCGCGGTCGGGTCACTGGCCGGCGCGGTCGGAGGTGCGTCCGCCATGATTCAAAGCTGCTCAAGTGATTGGTCCAGCCACATGCGCGGCCTGTGATTGGTCTGTTGGAGCATGGCAATGACTAATGGCACGCCACCTAAGATGCGAGCCGGACAGTTGCGACGATCGTAGCAACACACGTGCAGTGCTTTACCCCCAAGCAGAGCTACTTGGCCGCACAAGGTGTGTCCATCTTACATACATAGGAACTAAGCACTGTTGTTGGCACCACGGTAGTGGCGTACGGCGTCGTTTGCCATTAAAATGGCGTGTGTTTAGTCCATCCACGGCAACCGAACATCATCGTGGTCATGGCAGGTTGTCGCTAGTAGTATTGTAGCGCGAGGTCGCTTATATGACTTGAGCCTAGTTGACGTTTTGGCTTTGCTGTGCGAGCTTGAGCTGGTCGGCCGACTGGGACACGCTGTTCTTGTTGAGTTGATTTTGGTCCGACGCGGCCGCTTCCTTCACGCGGTTGTGGCTCTTCTTGAAGATGATGAGCTTTTCGTAAAAAATGTCGCTTTGGTCGGCTTTCTTCTCGGCCGACGTGCCCGCGTTGGCCTTGTTGAGCGAGTTGGCTTCGTTCCGAGCCGACGAGCTCGCGACGGCGCCGGCGTTCGCGTTGGCGCCACCAAACGGAGAAATGTTGGCGCCATAGCCGTAGCCGCCGAGGCCGTAGCCACCACCAGCGTAGCCACCGCCGCCGTACCCTTCTTGCCCTTGCGGCGTCCGCGTCGCGTGATCCTCCGTGTCCGACGTATCTTCGTGCAGGTGGCGCAACGCACGAACGATGTGCTGTCGCTCGGGCGACGACGGCCAGTGCTTGATCGACTGCACAATCCATGGCGCAGCGTTGGCGAATGCAAGTGCAGTGAGAAGGACGCACGTCGAAGTGCGACGCATGGTATCGACCGTAACGAGGTGAGCAAGCTGCAGAGTGACGTTGACTGAGGCGCTCGAGGGCGGCCATCGACACGCGCTCATTTTTTCTGTCCATTCTATAGTCTCGTCTCGCTCTCGACTAGTCAAGCGGCCTTTCTCTTAAATAGACCTCGCCTCTCGGTGGGTCGGGTCACTCGATGCTCGGTCGTTGACGCCGGCGTCGCTGCCAATCCTATCGTTTCAAGTTTGTATCAACTCGAAACGGTATCTTTGATTGGGGAATTGAGCACGATTAGAAAAGAACACTCTTTAAGATGGGGTCGACTGGCGGTCCAGCCACAGCACCAAGAGACGGTGCTGCTCTTTTTGGAGGCGGACAGCTTCGGCCGTCGCTGACCGCAAACTGTGCACCGAGATGGCAAACTGCAGCATGACCGCGATAAAGACGCCGAGACAGATGAGGTTGGCCCACCGCATGTAGAGCAGCGACGCTTCTGGCGTCAACCCGGCGGGCTTGACAAGCTCCATAGGCTCCGAGATCGTCGTTGCCGGTGCGCCGGCAACCGGGTGGAGCTTGGCGTGGGCTTCGAGAGCTTTCTTGACCCAAAACTGCATGATCTGCGCCGACTCGGTCTTGGCAAATCCTTCAATCTATCAAGTGCACTGTATCAATTTGCGATTGACTCGAGCGTTCACCGACCTGTCCTCTCAGCCACGTTGTTTTCGACCACTTAAGACGCATGCCACTCTCAACATGGCACTCGGTCGGACTGCGGTACGTGAAGACCCAGCGCGCTTCGGCGCGGAAGTAGTCGCAGTACGGTGCGTCCGAGACCGTCGATGTTGTGCTCACAATGAGCTGCGTGTCTTCTTCGTACACATAGCTATAAACATGACATGTTGTTGATTGCTCTGAGGATGACAAGCGAGGTACCGATGCACTTGAACCGTGGGAATCGAGCTTGGCCCAATGAAATTCTTCTTGTTGTGCGTAAAGCTCACACGGCGCTCGGCCATGAACGTCTCGGGCCGCTCGAACGCCGTGTACGTCACGGGCGATGTCGACCAGGCGCTGACGTCAATGTTGGTCTCGCGCACGAAGGTGAGGCAGTCGATTGTGAACTGCGGGTCGCGCCACAGCGTCTCAAAGACAAAGCGCAAGCTACGCCATGGCACGATCGAGCGGCAAACGTGCATGCACGTATGTACCTGAGCGGCAACGCCTGCGTTAGCACCACGTCATACTCGTCGTAGAGCTGGTCGCGCGGCTTGGGCCCGGGCGCCGACACGGTGCGCACGAACGGCGCCGAGGCCGCGTCGGCGACTGCTGTCACCGGCACTGAGTACGTGCGTGGAAGGGACTTGGTCATGGCGAGCGTCGGTCGAGCTGCGACTGCCAGGCGGACGCAATATCTGGCAACTCCAACCGCCGTAACGGAAAAAGAGGGATTAGATAACACAACCGTGTTTGATTCCCGTTATCTAAGCTGCACGCAAGATTAGGAAAGGCCGATACGAAGTGCTTGGCGTCGTCAAAGCTGCAACGTCAACGGGCGGCTGAAGACCAGCCGAAATCGCCTCAAAACAAGCTCACCCGAGTCGGTCAAGTGCGCTGGATCTTTGGCTCGTGGTCGGTCGACGGGCAGTAGCACGTCCGAGCTGTCAACCTGTCTGGCACGACGCGGGCGTGGCAGCCATTACGTGATGCGGGTGACCATGGACTGATGGCCTCTTACCGGTCCATGGTGGTGGCGGTCTCCAACTCGCAGGCATCCGCCGCGCGGGTTAAATGCAACAGGCGCGATGGAGGCGGCTTCCGCGATCGCAGCAGTTGCTTGGTCGTCGAGATACGTGGCATCCTGAGACGTCAATCGAACGCAAGAACCGTCGGCGCGGCGTTCGAAGCGCTGCCTGGATCTGCACAACCAGGTGGCGCCACTGGCACACGTCGCGCTGGAAATCATTAATTGCCCTAAAAAGTACAACCGAGCTTTTTCCCACAACCGACCCATCGCAAAGTACTCCCGGAGCGTATTTATTCACTTGGGTCACTCGGAGACACTGCGAATGGCCTAAACACTCAGAGAAGCGCGAGAGAAGACCCGACGCCGTGCTGCATGGTCTGGCGCGGGGCGCCGTCTATGCAGGTGCTGGCGATTCTATTGAGATGCTTTTGAGTTTTTTTTCGGGAGATTCAGTTGGATTTTTAGCCAATCCAAAGCGCTCATTGCGGAATGCAGCGATAACATTGGCTGTTTTCATCCAATAAAAAGGCCCAACACGCGCCACGCTCAATGCTCGCCGCGTGTGACACACAACGGTGTAACGTACTGCATAAGGCAATGCAATTACAGCCTCTTTAGGGCCAGACCGCGGGTAGAAGCGCAGCTCGGACATCTCGACTACGCACGCTCCAGTCTCTCATTTCCGCCAGCCTTCGCACCTCATCATGAACCGCATGGACAGCCTTCGTTCGATGGCCACGAGCGCCGGGTCGATGGCGCGCACGACGGCGTCGACCGCTGGCTCACTCGCGTCGTCGGCGATGCTCGGTGCCAAGGTTGCCGCGCCCGTCATCAAGGAGAAGGGCAAGTACGTGTGCACGCAGGCCGGCGTTGCCGCCTCCATGGGCAAGTCGACGCTCGAGAGCAAGCTCAAGAAGGTGCAAAAGTCATCGACGTACCAGAATCTCCGCCAACGCCTCCCGACGTGGACGCCGGGCACCAAGGGCGGGGACGACGCTGGCGCGCAAAACTTTGCATCGACGGAAAAGGAGTACTTCAAGATGGACCCTGCCGCCGCCAAGCAGCAGATGCGCCGGTCCAAGTCCGAGCGCCGCACCTCGTCCAAGGATTCGGCCAAGCCGCGATCGCTCGCGCGCACGACGACGACGGTGGCCGAGGCCGCGCCCGTGGCCGCGCCGGCACCCGAGCCCAAGCCGGCCAAGACGTCGAGTCTCGTGAGCGAGCGCATGAAGGCGTTCGAGGTCAAGCCTATCTCGGTGCGGAAAACGAGCACCGAAATCGCCTTCTAGACGCCTCGTCGTTGTATGTTTGTATCTCCGTTCACTATTTACACGATCCTACTTCTCAAATTTCTGTTGCATTTTGCATGCCACTCCCTTGAAGTTACGCTCCTTGGTGCTACCGGTAGTTGGACCGCATGTAGATCACTGTGCCAAGCCCATGACAGGTATGTGTCACGCATTCAAACTGTCAGTCAGAGCGTCCAGTGAGTGACACGTTCTCGGCTCCTACGGCCACGCCAAAAGCAGAATACAGGCGCTGCTTCGACCGAGCTTCGGCTTGAACCTGTCCTAACCTCTGACGTGGCAGCACCGCGTGCGTGTACGGTGGCGTCTATTTTTAGATCCAAGTGTTCTGGCGTCCGTCGATCGGAGGTTGCAAGATGCCATCGGCCACAACGATCACGCTGCACGTCGTGCTGCCCAAGGGCGGGCGCGAAGAGCTGGTCGTCGGCCACGACGAGTCGGTGCGCGTTCTCAAGCAGCTCCTCATGGCGCGGACCGGCCTCGCCCCGGACGAGCAAACGTACGAGCGTCTTCGCCCCCTTTGAGATTGCGACTCTTTGTTCTTATAGGCTGTACTTCAAGGGCATGCTACTCGACGACGACGTGGTGCTGTCCTTTTACGATATTGCGGATGGCTACACACTGCGCCTTGGTCGGACGCGCGGCCGGTCGCACCTCGTGTCGACGCTGCACGTGCGCACACTGAAGGCTCATCCACCTGTGGCGCTGCGCGGGCTCAAGAGCTGGCGCGCCGTCGTGCGCAGTGTCCAGTGGATCGTCTGTCTCTGGCGGGCGTCAACTAGTCGCCGCGGTACGAGCGTTGAGTTAGTGCTTTAACGACTCAACGGTAGTAGGGACCTGCCGAAAACTATCGATGCGTCCTCATGTCGAGCACGGATTTTCCTACGACGTGTCGCCAGCATCGCAGACTTCGCTGACCGCCGGCGCGTACCAAGCGCTCCTTCGAGCCCCGCACGAACGGGACGTCAACGACGCCTTGGCCTTGACACACTGGCTGCTCTCGCTCGGTAAATGTACACCGTACTTGATTGCCGAGTGCATCTCCTCGCATGGTATCTACGATCACTCTTGCGACGACACGCATCTAACATATCTGTTGCAATAGACGTGACGCTGTCGATGGAGCTGCGCACGTGCGCGGCCGGTGACTGTGTGTTTAAGCAAGACGACGTCGGGGACTGCCTCTACATCGTCTTGCACGGTAGAACCCTCGCATCTACGCATACCACCTACACTGCGTTGTAGGCTCGATCACGATGGCCATGCACGGCTTTGGCTGCATCGGCCGCTTTGGGCCAGGTACCTTGTTTGGTGACGGCGCGACGCCGGCGATCGCCGCCGACGGCCTCCTGCATCGGACCGCGACGGCCCTCATCGACTACGATGCGATTGTGACCCAGATTGCCGTGCTTCGCCCGGTACAACTGCCACTTTTGACAAAATTTCGAAGCACGGGAAGCGTAGACCCCTGCGGTTGCAGTGCTCCGGCACCAATTGCACAACATGCTGCGCGTCAAGCTCAATTATTTGCACAATATTGCCTATTTTCGCGACTTTTCGCGCGCGAGCATGGTGCGGCTCGCCTACAGCTGCACGTACACGGCGTTCACGGCCAAGACGCCGCTCGTGGCCCAAGGCGACCCGATTCCCGCGCTCTTCCTCCTCGTCGCCGGCACGCTCACGACGATCACGCATCTGCCCAACGCGGTATGGATTTCTTATTGTGGAAGTTTCAATCTTATCGCTGCCATATACCAGACGACCAAGGTGCTCGATATGCTGGAAGCACCGCAGCTGTGCGGCGAAGAACACTGCGCGGGCAAGACTTGGTCCAGCGTCACCGTGCTGGCCATGCCGGGTGCTGTTGTCCTTGCGGTGCCGCTCCCCCT